TTTTATATAATCACCTGAAAATAAGAATTGTCGTGTTTTTGCTTCCTTCCTTGCCGTTTATATATCTATGGGTACTATGCTCCCCCTATGTTTAACACCATGTTTCTACGGTAGCCCTGATGGGACGAATCAAACACTGGCTTCAGATTGGGGCATTCACATTTTTCACGCGTTTCGAAAGGAAAGGGAGGGTGAAGATGCCACTAAATCCTACACACTGGTCCTCTAAGAAGATTAGCTTTCTAAATACTACTACTAACTGCAGTCCATCCAATTTTTGGAAAAGTGTAGAAAAAAGATCCTGTAAAGTCTGTGGACCAAAAGAAAAATATAGTAAAGAGACTAAAAGATCTCTAAATGTTTACATATTTTATATTACAGAAGAGCAGTTCAAATGTATAAAAATGTAAATAGGAAAGTTTTATATATTGCATGATTTCACCAAATGTTTCAAAAATGCTGGTCAGTGGTGCTCCTGTTGTTTCTAAAGTTTGCCTAATGCTGTTCCTGTTGTCAAAATGTTGTTTGTGTACTGCTCCGTCTGTACACAGTAAATACCAAGGGACCTTGTGTACTTCCATGTCACATTACAATAAATTTGTATGACATATTCCTAACAAGGGATTCATGAGGACATTTTTGGACTCTTGTTGTTGTTTCTTTTGATTGATTCACTGAATATATAGCCCCTCAAAACCTCTAGCTAGAGTGTAGCTCATCTATCCACATTCCCACAATTTCATGTACCTCCGAGTGGTGCCAGATGGTTGTCTTAATATACTTCTGTGGAATTTTAACTGACCTTGTGGTTGCTGACCTCAATCCTGACCAGCCCCCAAGCCTCTTAAAAAATCCACCAGATTTAGAGATGTCAAGTTAAGTCATACATAGTCTCAGACATTCTTCTCTCAGGCCGTACTCTTTGTTTGAGTCTTTTTTAGCCGCCGTCCTCATACAGAGCACACAGAGGCTTTATCTGGGCCTTCTGTGTGGGTGCTGTTTACCAGTGCAAGGGTGCAAAATTGAATGTGTTTTAGTGTGACTTCAAGACTGCAAAGTGTCTCTGTTTACGCAGAGGCATCAAAGGGCAAGAGGACAACCTCTGCCAACCGCATCGATTTATTTCCCCTGGCTATCCTTTCTGTAGTAGCAAGATGTACTCCCTTTGTGAGTGTGAGAGGGAGGAGATGCAGTCGGCATCGTTAAGCCAATCTACCCCTCTGCGCGTTAAGTTCAGTCGCAGAAGTGGACTCGACAGATTTCCCACAGGGGAGGGACCCGGCTAGGCAGTGAGAGTGCTTGTCTGTGTCCGCGTTGTCATTGACTGGCATGTCTGTGAACCTGTAAATCACACCATCTTCGAGCGGATGCCATTAGGCGAGCAGCATCCAGCCGCAGCAATAAACTATAGATGGTACAGATGACCTAATTCACCCCTCCCTCCTATTGTTTCTGTCTGTACAGAGTGGTGGGATTATGAGCAAAACCTCAGCCAGCGAATACCTGTGTGCCAGCCTTATAAAGATATATCATCTTCCAAATGCAATAGCTGTAATGAATACCATAATTAGATCTGCAGCCTCGCAGAAGTCAGATATAGACTGGAACAGAGCATCAGCACTACCTGATCTCATCCAGCAGCCTAATTTTATGTATGCATGGTGAAATTATAAAGAAATGTATGATCTACATTCCCTCAGTAATGTTTTAATATTCTGATACATTACTGAGAGCATGATCATTGATTCTTAAAGGGAATAAATGTTATCATTAACGCTTAATCAGTTTTAATGATGATATTGTAGTGATGACAAATCAATTCTGGGGGAGGACTGTGGAATAGTGTCTGTGTTTCAGTGAACTGAAAGTACAGCTGGTGAGTCATGTTTGCACACTTTTCTCAAAAGGGCATAGCTTTGTAAAGTCTTCCTGATGCTTGTGTTCTTCCTGAAGCCCTCATCAGTGGCTGAAGATGCTGACATTATAGGACTCCCCTCTCTGGTTTAATCAGTGCGTTCATCGTGCAAAGTCCTAATTGGACGACTGTCAAACAGCCAGGGGAGGCTTCACTAATCACAGGACTGCTGTTGATGTGTGCATTGACTGTGACGCTGTCTTGTTCAGTTCATTTTACTGGGAGCGTCCCTGTGGGTGAAGTGTTGAAGGAGCTGGAAAAAAAAGATTCTGCTGTGAAGCGGCACGTTACGACTCTGTGCCTCCACCTAGTGTCTCGCTGCCTCTCCGCAGTCACTCCTTCCATTGCTGGGATGTGACTGAACAAAATCCATCCACATTTTAAATTAATAACACTTCATTTTATATGTCAAATAGTTTACTAAACTTTCCTGGAAATTATTTTTAAGTCTTCTGAAGGTTCCTGGAAAAGGATGTGTAATTGGGTACAACTGGAGACAGTGCTGCAGTTTGTACACTCCTAATGAAATTATTCCAATTAATTGCTTATTTGACCAAGGCAATCTTTTTTATGAGCAGTGGAAGAGCCTTTTACTTGAGTAAAAGTAGCATAACCACCATGTAAAAATCCCCTTTCACTAGTAAGAATCCTGAATATGTTTTAAGACAAGCCTTCATTGATCCCAAGAGGGAAAATTCAGGAATTCACGATGCAGAAAAATGACCACTATGAGCATTATATTATTAGAACTCTAAAACATTTATTAATATACAGTATATCTATTTGTGTCTGATATATTTTTTTTAAGTAACTAGTGGAAAATGACATTTACTCCCTAATTTAATTAATTCATTTATTTTCAAAATGTATGAATGAATAAAGGTCTATTCTCAGTGTATGTGCACTGGAAGTTTAAAGTGTCCACATCACACGTGTGTTGCATATTGGACCACGATTGGCCTCCAAATTTGTTTCGATGTCGCAAAATTGTACTCAAACATGTATGTCTTAAACTCAGATTTTAAGTGAGCGCAGAGAAATGGGAAATGTGAAAACAGCTTCCTAAAGTCAAACTCATCAACATTTTTGAGAGTAGAGGGACTTTAAAGATCCCCTCCAGACATGTATTAAGGCAGATATACAAATAGTCAGCTTGGAACACCAATAATGTGTGTCTAAAAAGTATAATTTCCACATTAAAAAGGCATCTACTCCTTTTACCTCATTACATTTCCAGAATCTATCTATATGCAAATTTAATTTCTCTTTTTATGTTTTCTTGCTGGACACAACATGTCTCCTACTTCACTGCAAAGTCCATTCTCAGTGTCTGTGCACTGGTGGCTTCAGGTTTTTATACCTCACTTGTATAAATTGCATACTGGACCAAGATTGACTTCCAAACTATTTATAATGTCACAAATAATGCTCTTTGGCCCCGGCCCTTAAAATCTGACTTTTAGGAGAAGATTATGAAAACATCCTTCTAGTGTCAAACTCTAGAAGGAAACTATATGGTCACTTCCTTATGACGGTTTTAATTACACTTCTATGGCATATTTTGGTGGGGTTTTTTATAGATGATATACTAATATACACTTCACTGTTTCTTTCACAAATATCTGAAAGTGGGCTTGATTTGCTTATGCCTTATCTATTACATATTTTCATAGTATATTGTGGCATATTTCTTTTGCAGCAGCTGTCTGCTCAGTCTTTCTATGGGAAGACGAGGCCTGCTGTGCCACAGATTGT